CCGAAATACCCAGTGGTCTCTTGGCACCTGTTCTCTGCCTGACAGATTCATTTGTCTCACTTTGTCTCCCTTTATTTGGCCCCGGTTGTCTCCCAGCCTATGCCTGTCACGGCTCTCTGGGTGGACGGATTCGTTTGTCTCCCAGCTTGGATGTCTGGCACAGCTCTCCGGGCGGACGGGTTCATTTGTCTCCCTTTGTCTCCTTCTTGTTGTCCCCCAGCCTGGATGCCTGGCACGGCTCCCTGGTCATTCGCGGTGTATTCCGCGGGCACGCATGTGTGTTTGAGGCTCAGAAACGTGTGTTTGAGCGCGCGCGTGCGCTTGATCAAGCCACAGGCAGCATGCTGCGGATGCACGTACGAGTGCTTCAAGTAACTGATTGTGTGTTCTTGGTGTGTTCCAGCTGACCACATCGGCGCGTTCCAAGTGAACACGCACTTTTTGCATGTGACCACACGAGTGTGTTCCACGTCAGCACATGTTTGTGTTCCAGGTGAAAGCATGCGATTGTTCTGATAAAACACATATGCGATCCGGTCAAAATTCCTAGTAAGGGAGTTTAGTCTACAGAGGCCACCGTCGCAGTCACTTTGTGCAGTCTTTCATTCACACAAAGCGGAGTCCTGCAAATACCAATGGATTGCCCGCTCCCCACTGGAGGCGCTAGGATGGCGCTTGGTTTGCGCTAGGGTCTTCGGTGATCTTGGTTTCCAAGAGTTGGCGCGTGGGTTGCCGCGATGGGCTTTGCGTGGCTTTCAAGGGTGTAATGTTGCAGTTCTTACTTAGTACTTGAAGCCAGCCCGCACGTTTACCTTCATCTTACGTGGCCTTAATTTGTCAAATCCACACAGATTGTCGCCGTGACTCCAAAAAATACGGCGAACCCGCGCTAGCCGCGCGCTAGCAAGGCGCTAGCGCAGTGGTCAGCTGTGACCGGTTCCCAGTTACGCTTCAATCCAAATTTGCTTCCGCTCTCCTCGCATGCAATTATCCTGGAGTGCGATTTGCTGGACAAAGGGGAGAAACAACGGCTGAGGCAAGACGGCAGGGATGCCTTGTACCGAGCATACGGAAGAATTGGGTTGCGTATTTCCCTGAGAAAGCAAATGCTTTACTGAATCGATACGAAGAGTTGCCACAATACGATCAAAGCACTTTAGCAATCGATACGAAAGACACTGTGCAGCTAAGCGAGAAAGAAGCGCAATGCGCCGGAAAGCTTTTGCTAAGCTGAAGCCTGTAACTGCTGGAGACGCATCCGATACTGAGAGTACTAGCAGTAGTAGCAGCAGCAGCAGCAGCAGGCTCGCGCGCTAGCAATGTGTTGCAAAAAAGCTAGATTGATCGTACACGAACACTATTTTCCTACTTGGAACACGCATATAAAACACAAGCGTTGTTCAAGGCAGAGCCCCATGGAATAGCGCCTCACAGCCGGCTTCGGGACTTGATTTATGTGTCGCCCAGGCGTGCAGGAAATGTAAATTCCATGTGAACACATTTTTGTTGTCCAGGTGAACGCATGTGTGTTGCACATCTGTGTTGCACATGTTTCTCCACATGTGCACACACGTGTGTTCCATGTGTACACATATGTGTGTTACAAGTCAACACAGTTCTGGTTAAACATGCTTGTGTGATCCAGGTCTGCACCAGTGTCGCACGTGAACACACATGCCTGTTCCAAGTGAGCGCATATATGGGTTCCAGGTGAACACATATGTGTGTTGCAGGTGAACAGAAATGTGCTTTCCAGACATACACACATATGTGTTCCAGGTGTACGCATGTGTGTGTGCGTGTTCCGGGCGCGCATATATATATATATGTATATATATATATATATGTGTGTGTGTGTTCGCGTGTGCACATATGTGTGTTCCACATTTACACATATGTGCGTTCACGTGCGCACATATGCGTGTTGCACGTGTACACATATGTGTGTTCACGTGTACACACATGTGTGTTCTTATCAGACACGTGTATGTGTTCCAGGAGAACACATGTTTGTTATCAGATGAACACGTGCGTGTGTGTCTGCTCCGCGTGCGCTTTTTTTGTATGTTTGTTCACGTGCACACATTGTGTGTTCACGCGTGCGCACATGTGCGTTCCAACTGGACACGTGTTTGTGTTCCAGGAGGACACATGTTTGTTATCAGATGAATACGTGTGTGTGTGTGTCTGCTCCGCATGCGCATGTGTGTGTTCATTTGCACACATATGTGTGTTCCACGTGCACACATTTGTGTGTTCACGTGTCCACACATGTGTGTTCCAATTGGACACGTGTTTGTGTTTCAGGTGAATACATGTTTGTTTTCAGATGAACGCTCGTGTGTGTGTGTGTTCCGGGTGCGCATATATATGTGTGTGTTCACGTGTACACATATGTGTGTTCACGTGTACACACGTCTGTGTTCCAATTAGACACACGGTTGTGTCACCAGGAGAACACGTGTTTGTTATCAGATGAACACTCGTGTGTGTCTGTGTTTTCCGCGCACGCATAAATGTGTGTGTTCACATGTGCAGTACACATGTGTGTTCCACGTGTGCTGTGTACACGTGTACACATATGTGTGTTCACGTGTACACACGTCTGTGTTCCAATTAGACACACGGTTGTGTTCCAGGAGAACACGTGTTTGTTATCAGATGAACACTCGTGTGTGTCTGTGTTTTCCGCGCGCGCATAAATGTGTGTGTTCACATGTGCAGTACACATGTGTGTGTTGCACGTGTGCACATGTGTGTGTTCACGTGTGCGCATTTGCGTCTCCCACGTGTACACATATGTGTGTTCACGTGTACACACATGTGTGTTCCAATGGACACGTGTTTGTGTTCCAGGTGAACACATGTTTGTTTTCAGATGAACACTCGTGTGTGTGTGTGTCCGGGTGCGCGTATATATGTGTGTGTTCACGTGTACACATATGTGTGTTCACGTGTACACACGTCTGTGTTCCAATTAGACACACGGTTGTGTTCCAGGAGAACACATGTTTGTTATCAGATGAACACGTGCGTGTGTGTCTGCTCCGCGTGCACTTTTTTGTATGTGTGTTCACGGCACACATTGTGTGTTCGCGCGTGCACACATGTGCGTTCCAACTGGACACGTGTTTGTGTTCCAGGAGGACACATGTTTGTTATCAGATGAACGCGTGTGTGTGTGTGTGTGTCTGCTCCGCGTGCGCATGTATGTGTGTTCATTTGCACACATATGTGTGTTCCACATGTACACATTTGTGAGTTCATGTGTCCACACATGTTTGTTCCAATTGGACACGTGTTTGTGTTTCAGGTGAATACATGTTTGTTTTCAGATGAACGCACGTGTGTGTGTGTGTTCCGGGTGCGCATATATATATATATATAAATATGTGTGTGTTCACGTGTACACATATGTGTGTTCACGTGTACACACGGTTGTGTTCCAATTAGACACACGGTTGTGTTCCAGGAGACCACGTGTTTGTTATCAGATGAACACTCGTGTGTGTCTGTGTTTTCCGCGCGCGCATAAATGTGTGTGTTCACATGTGCAGTACACATGTGTGTGTTCCACGTGTGCACATGTGTGTGTGTGCTCACGTGTGCGCATTTGCGTCTCCCACGTGTACACATATGTGTGTTCACGTGTACACACATGCGTGTTCCAATTGGACACGTGTTTGTGTTCCAGGAGAACACATGGTTGTTATCAGATGAGCACACGGGTGTGTGTTCCGGGTGCACATATATGTGAGTGTTCACGTGTGCACATATGCGTGTTCACGTGTGCACATATGTGTGTTCCACGTGTACGCACATGTGTGTTCCAATTGGACACGTGTTTGTGTTCCAGGTGAACAGATGTGTGTTTCACGTGAACACATTAGTATGTGCTAGGTGAACTTTTTTTGGCATCTGACGACATATTTGCTCTCCAGGTGTGCACATGTATGCGCTCCAGAAAACGCATGATTGTTTTCGAGGTGCGCGCATGTGTGTGCGATTTAGGTGAGCATTTATGTTTGCTCACGTGTGCGCATATGTGTGTTCCACATGTACACACATGTGTGCTTTAATCGCACACGCGGTGTTCCAGGTGGACACATGTTTGTGTTCCAGTGGTATACATATGTGTGTCCCACGCGTACACACATGTGTGCTTTAATTGCGCGTCTTTGTGTTCCAGGTGAACGCATGTGTGTTCCACGTGTACACACATGTGTGTCTGAATTAAATTGGACACGCGTTTCATTGTGTTCCAAGTGAACACACATGTGTGTTCCACGTGAACGCATTAGCGTGTCGTAAGTGAACACATATGTGCGTTCCACGTTTGCACATGTGTGTGTGTGCTTTCCAAGAAGCACATGTTTGTTTTCCAGCTCAACACATTTATGCGTGTGCCGCAGGTGAATGTATACTGTTTCAGTCGTATACGTATGTGTGTTCCACGTGTACACACATGTGTGTCTGAATTGGACATGTGTGTTTGAACTGCCCATGTGACTGCGTGCTTGCGCGGCCACACTTGCGTTCACGCGCGCGCTCGCCCGCCATCGCGCGCGCTTGCCCAACCTCAGTTCTGGCGCGGTGCTGAAGCGCGAAGCACGCCAGCAACACACGTGCAGCAACGCAACGCGCGCCAGGTTCACGACTGCATCATTTTGATTCATCCGTGTTGAAGCGCAGAAAGCCACAAGCTGTTGGCATGTTTGTGCTCGCCCGTCAGCCCTCAACTGTTTGGGGTCTCTGCTGGTGTAATTTTTTGGTGTGCGGAATCCGGGTGCAGTTTGGCAACTTTTGCGGATTCACCCCTGGAAATTAGGATATCAACGGAGCACTGAAAGAGGGGCACTTCCGGAGGAACCCCCAAACCAGATACATCCAGACTGTTTTCTAGAGCTGAGCAGTTTGTGCATGTGTCAAGACGGTTCTAGGAAGCTCTTTTCGGGTGTGGTGGGGGCCCCAGCTTTCCTGACCTTTTTCCTTTTCTCGCGATGAAGTCCCAGGCTACCAATCCCGCATCTGCCCGAGCTCGCCCAGCGTGAGGGCCGCCGCTTCGCCCGCGTCTTCGCCGGTGTCGTCGGCGGTGCCGCCGTCCCCGAGCTCAGAGACCTTCTATGTGGACCTCAACTCCCCGAGCGGCGCGCGACTGCCGTCCCCCAAGAAGGCAGCGTGGGCCCGGGCGGGTGGGAGGCCAATGGAGGCGGAGGCAGGCAAGAAAATCGATGGTCTGAATTTTACGGCCCAGGGGCCCCCTGCTTAAAGTGGCAAACTAGTCATACGAGTGTTTTCACGCAACATGCCAGATTTTGCCAGAACAGCTACAGTTTGCCATGACTTGCCTCGGTGTTGAGGATGTTGCCTTCTTGGTGACTTCAGAAGTTTTACGGTTAATTACAACCCTTTGTGGACTCATACGCGGGCGTGTAGCCTTTCCGCAGCAGTTTGGTTCCTTAGCGGGTGTTCTGTTTTGAGATGCGGGGCATATGCCTCACGGCTAGGCCCGCGACGATGCGCCCGGGCCCACGCCCCTCTTCGCCGCACTGTCCTCGCCCAGCAACCTGGTGCGGCCGAGCCTCTCGCAGTCGCCCAAGCGGCGGCCTCTGCAGACGGTGTCGGAGGAGAAGGCGCCCGCCGCTGTCCCATCGGGCCCAACGAGCCCAACGAGCCCAGCGGCTGTGGCGCGGGAGGAGAGATGTAAATGCAGCCCCATCTAGCCATTGCATACCTACCGCCACATAAGGGTTCAACTCAATTGATTCTTCTGGAGTTTCCAGCCTGTTTGCTTGCTCATGTTAGGTAGATCGGTCGTCCCATGGTTGAACATCCGCTCTTGATGTTTTTTTGAATGCACCAAATTTGTCCAACCATTAGTTGGAAAGACGCCCATAAGTCAATCACGCTGTCGACCCGGGCTTCTCCAGCAGACAGGACATGTGTTGTACGCTGTCCAGCAAGGAGCTCAACGAGCTCCCAGGCACATGCGCGGCCGAGGACGCCCCCGTCCCCGCCGAGCGCGCGAGCGGCAACGAGCGCCCGCGCAAGAAGAAGGGTGTTCGACCGCCCACGTTGGAGCTGGAGCGCTACCTGCCGGAGGAGGTGGATTGGCACGCAGTTCTTGGCAAATTACAAGCTGGGGTAGACATGAGCAAACCCAACCTTGAGGTTCCTTACTGGGAGGATGTCTTTTTTCTTTTGTGAAAAAGCTTGCTCTGTGGACCCGGGGCCCTCAACAAAAACGCGTGGGTGGCTCATGAGGGACGCCGTCACCCGAGGAGGATCTGACCTTTGCCTCGCCCAGCAAGTCCCCCAGCAAGTCCCGGGCGCCCGCTTCCAGCAGCTTCGCGCCGGCATGGCTGCAAGAGCGGGGCACGCCCGCGCATGCCGAGAGGCCGGTTGGAAGGGGCAGTGGTGGGAGGGAGGGTCAAAGACCACATTCTCCGCTGGATCCTGCAAGCAGCTGTGTGAAACAAGGGGCTACACAAATTCACAGATCTTTCATGATCTTTCTCTTGTGATGCCGACTCAATTTAATTTGGTTTAAAGTCATCCAGCTCCTCATTCAAATTGTTAGGATGCCTTATCGAGGCCCCTATAGTTGCGACTCTCCCCGGCCTTCCAGGCTGCCTTTGGAGTCGTTGCCGCCGCAGCCTTCGCTGCCAGCTGCGCCGCCCCCTACCCCGGGGCCGGTGCCGCCCTCGCCACTGCCGCCCAAGCCAGCGCCCCCACCGGAGACGCCTGATGCATGCGCCCGCCAAGGCACCTGAAAGACAAGGGGGCCAGGCGGAATGACCTCTTAGTTGCCCAGCGGATCGACTGAATCGACCTTGTAACCCGATAGGTGGCTCTTTTCGGTCCATAGAGTCAAGATCCCAAAAGGTAAAGCCTTGAAGGTTGGGGGCGGGTTGAAAGGGTTGGTTGATACATGCCTTTTCGATTGCCTTTTTGCGTGGGGAGTGAGGGCACAAGCGCCTTTCACCAATGCAGCGCTCTCATTTGTGGAGTTGTTGGTGTAGGTCCATTTTGCCCCGTTGCACACCCTAGGAAGTGAAGCATGGAGCGACCCGCCCGTAACCGCCAAAGCCTGCTTGCATTTCAACAATTAACTTGCTTAGTGGACATGAAAGATATCACCCACGTGTTTGTGAGCGAATGACTCGTCCGACGTTGTTTCCGAATCTTGTCTCTGTCGACTTTTTTTTGAAAGCTTTTCGTGCAAATTGTTTGTTGTGGGGGGGGGGCCAGATGTACGTGCTTGTTTTCTCACCGCTCCTCAGTAGGGAATGACCCAGCATGTGAACCGGAAGGTGGTTTTGTTGGAAGCCATAGGGGATGGTTTTTTTTGCCCTGAGAACCAGCAAGGGTAGGTTTTTGGGGATTTCCGTCGAGCTCTGAGCTGAGTTCCCCTGAGGCCTCCGGCGCGGCGCGAGCCGCGTGAGCTTCCCTTCCGTGCCGCCCTCCCCCAGCGCAGGGGGGAAGGGCCTGGCGCAGGCGCGGGTGTGGGGTGGGGGGGAGGTGCACAGCACAGGGGAATGGACAGGAATGGACAACAGGTACCAAACCCTGTGCAGAAGCAAAACTCCGATGGACTCGGCTCTGGTCCTCGGGACTCTGTTGGACTCTTTTTCCGCCCTGGGGAGGGCCAACGTGTAGAGACCAATCCCCAGCGTTCAATGGCGCATAGGTTGAATTCCCAGTAAGCCACAGGAGAAGGATCACATTTCGGTTTGGCGCCGAAAACCGACCAGCTGCGAAGGCCCCGAACCTGTCGCTGCCAACAAAGCCGGAGCTTCCTCCGGCGCCAGATCTACCTGCCCCACCAAGGCCCAGCGGACTGCCGCGGCTTTGCTCAGGTGTCACCTGGTATTTGATTTGAGCAAATTATGGCGAGCTCGTCTAAGGGTAAAGCGACACCATGAAGATCCTGTACTATGCCCGTTGCATTAGTTCAGCTGAAAATTAGACCACATCTCATGCAACTAGGCCAGCCCCTTGCATATTCCAAAAGGAACTGGGCCCTGGCCAAACTTGGGATAGGCCTACGGCCGCGGAGAATATGCAACGCGCTTTTCGGATGAGCCCCAAAGTGCCAAGCCACCCAAGTTGGAGGGGTTGGAGCTGCGCAGGCATTCCAGGTCGAGTGAAGCCTTTGAAATTTGAGACGTAGCATAGCCGGCTCGTGGCCGAGCGCCCCCTGGAAACATGGCCATGCGCGCTGAAGAAAAGATAATGTTATTGTGTAGAAGTCTTGGCTCGCTTCGTATGCGTGGGAGGGGCCGGGTTGGCCCACTTTGCAAAGTCCAGCCAGAAGTTTCCAGAGGGCTTTTAGGATTACAAGTGGTGACACGCTTGACGTCAAGCACTACGCCCACCCTCCATACGGAGGCTTAGTAGCTCGGACTTTCCTCCGAAGGAGAAAACGGTCAAAACGCCAAAGTTACCCATTTGCGGTTTTGACGTGTGATTGCCGTGACTGGTGCATATGGGTGTGCGTTTTTTTGAGGGTACCCTTGTTAGGGTTGGTTCAAAGGGAAACCAAAAGGAGGACCACCATTTTAGGGTCCCCGACGCGCACCCGTTTGTTTTGATGGCATCGAAACCGCACATCGAGGATTATCCGCCCAATGCACGACACTTGCCTGCGAGCTTGCCCGTATCCCACCGTTCGAGCCTCCCCAATCAAACCAATGTTTTCTCAATGAATTCGAGCGATTCGGCAAGAGTGGGTTTAGGCCTATAGAGGCTTGTCAAGCTTCAATCACTCATGGCAAAAGCTTGCACACCTTGGGCATTCAATGAGCCATGGCTCAGGCTGATTGACCTGGTTGCCCTAATCCCCCTGAATGGTTCCCACAGGCAGCCCACAGGCAAGTGGCCTCAGCTGTCGGAGTCTCGACGGCACTGGGCCTTGGCGAAACCCTCTAATTTTCAGTCGGAGCTTCATGTTTTTTTTCTTCTTTTTTTTGTTTAAAAAAAGATGGGAATCAAGCTGAAACCAGGCTCGAGTCTTCTTTGGTTATCACATCGAGGTGGCGATCGCCCGGGTTACCGTTTGCCAAGGCCCGGCGGCTAAGCACCGCCTCAGAGCACATGGGCTCTTTGGCCCAAGCGGGCCGAAGCCGGCCTCCGCGAAGCGGACAGTAGTTCCATCGATTTCCTGCGGCCGTCCCTCCCGGTGCCAGTGAGGCCCTGGGAGGGAGGCTGAGATTTTGGCAGCCACCAAGGGAAGAGCAGGATTTCATGGCGGGTTCGCGCTCTTCGGATCGAGTGACCATGCAAGCTCCTTTGGTGCCTCAGCGCTGTAGCCCATTCTTCGCCCAGTAGGAACGTGCCCGGCCTCGACGCATGCTTGCGCCACTGTGTCCAGAGCATCAGGGTGTAGGAAGGGGAAAAAGCGAGCAGCACTGGGAGTCACTGGGATCGGGGCTAATTGCCACAATCAGCAGGCTCGGTCGGAACCTTCTTGGAAGGGGCTCGTGACAGGGGTTGCGTTCGACCTTCGATGACTGAAGGTTCCTGGGAGATCGACATCCCGACTATTTCAGGTTGCAGGTTAGTGGGAGGGTCGGTCAGTGGTTTGTCTTTGCATTCGGATCCATTGAGAGAAGATTCGTGGGATCAATTGCTCCTTTGGGCCTCGCCTTACCTGTTGAGCGAGCTAACCGTGAGTATGTAGTTAGTCAATGTGTTCATCATCTTTGTCAAGCCCCAAAACAAACTAGCTTCTTCTGTACCCGGCACACTAACGCGGGACCCCCAAACCCAGCCTCCTTTTGGGCGCTTTTTGGGGACGCCTTGTCTAGAGGCTCCATGAAAAAAGGGAGGCACACCTCGCCAACTCGGCAGCTTCCTGTCAGGAGGTAGAGGACTGCCGCGAGGGGCTGACCGGCAAGGGGAAAGACTACCGGGGCTGCCAGTCGGTGACGAGGCCGCGACCCAGGGAGAGTGGAGGGAGCGAATATCCTTCTTCCCTGAATTAGGTTTGAAAAATGGTTGGTGCATACCCAGTTGCCCTCAGGACATATGCTGTGGACAAACAGAAGAGATTTGGAGGCTTCCGGGGCGAGCAGATCCAAGATGCGGGCAGGGGCAGGGATTGTGAAGGCTCACCCGGGTAGCCCGAAGGTCATGCCACGGAGGATTCGAAAGGTGCACTGGATTTTTGTTTGGCATTGTCTGGCAGATTCACCCAATTCCAACTTCCTCACCCCTCTGACTAAATCAGGGTTTCATTTTTTGCTGCCCAAGGTAGGCTTGATTTGGTGGTTGAATTTCTAGAGGAAAGCCTGGGCTAAAGCCCACTTTCTGGGGAGTCACCACGGGGATCGCAGGACCGGCAAGACGTGTCAGCGCTGGGACGCCAGCAGCCCGCACAGCGTGGAGCCCTACACAGCCGCAAACTTCCCAGAAGCGGACCTGTCATTGAACTACTGTCGCAACCCCGACGGCAGGAACACGCGCCTCGGGCTGCACTGAAAAGCCGGAACGGCCCAGAAAACGTGGGAATTTTTGCTGCCGCCGCTTTGTGGTGATCGTTGCGTGCTGAAGTCTACAGAATGCAAGCCACTCCCAGAATGCGTGGGTTTCGCGAGTTGCGACGGGAGGAGGCGAAAAGAGCCCGAACACCAAGCAGTCATTCCTTCACAGCTTGCTGTTTGCAAGCAAGTTTGCTTCAGTTCTTTGATAGGGAAGCATCCAAAGCCCCTCCTGCAACCCAGGAAAGCTTCTTGCAACCTTCTTAGGGGTTTAACCTTTCTGGGCCATGAAGGATTACCCCTATTTTATTCGGTGAGGATTTGGTGCTTCACCACCGACGACGATGTGGAATGGGAGTTCTGCGACATCCTGCCGCTGTGGACTCTGAAAAGCGGCCCTTGCACCACCGACATCTTCTGCATCTACAGCAACGCGGCATCTACCATCGACCAATTGTCTAGCCTCATTCGAGCGGGTTGGGAGAATCTCAACAGCTTGGACTTGCAACTCGAGTCGGTCGGGTGTATATAATGGCCATGTTGGCAAATTCGGGGAAGCATATTTCGGGGTCATTGTAGCCCATCTCCGTGAGGGCTCTGTGCCAGATGTGCGTCAGTAGCTCATTTCAAGAGGTGCTGGATTCGGCACTTGTTACGCCGGGCAAAACCCTGACTGAAGCCAATCACAGGGCTGCAGGTTGGATGCTGGACACGTCCCTCCCTTTTGCTTCATGGTCCTCATGCGTGTGTTGATATGAGGCATTGACTATGCCTTGGGCATATATTGCCGCTTTCGTATCATCCATGGCTCATTTTTTGGGTTTTGGCCAAGTGAACCACAACTGGAATGATGCGATAGTCACAAAGTACCACAAAGTACATCGTGGCAAACACTTTGCGTAAGACTGGCACAATACATTCAGGACATAGCGTGGTGAAGGGCGGGGCTTGAAGTTTCCAAACCTATTAACACGCCCAAGCCCAGGGAAAATGACAGCATTTTGAAACCGAGCACTTGGGTCTCCAAGCCTCATGTGTCTTGAGACGATTCTATGGGGTTTCCGCGTGTGCACGTAGAATGGGGTTGAGAAATCCCTGTAGACAAGTTGATGCACCGCCACCCCGAGAGGGAAGGAATACGGCGAATCGGCTAATAAGAAATTACTGCATGAGAACGATCGATGAACAGCAATTACATATCACACATCTTCAAGCCTGAAATCGTAGAGCTAGACCAAGAACGATGCGCTTGATTGTAACTACGCTACTTGCACGCAAGCTTCTTCCTGGTGTTTTTCCCTTGGAAATCCTTAGGGGGGGAGAGTTCTCCCGAATTCAACTGAAGCCCAGGCCCCAGCTTCCCCAACGCCTACAGCAACCGGGAGACCTGCGAGCTGTCGGCCCTTCAGCGCGGCGTGGGGGGCTTTCTGCGGGTGGGGCGCTTCGACACGGCGCCTCGGCCAAGTCGGCCCCCGAAGCGTGCGATCGGTGCGATGGCTACAGACTGAACCTGGGGATTCCCCAAGAAGCATCACATGGGATGGTTCATGGGGGTCATTCCCTCATTGGCAAGTGATGACCCCTCCGGTCGGTCGGACTCGCAAGCCAGAACCCGAAATTCCGAGATCGCCATCCAAGTTATCAAAAGTGGAGTTGGGGAGGGGGTGACATTTGGGATTTCATTCATAGTGCAGTTTTCCGATCCCCTCAGCTTCCGCTAAGGGAGCGGGGAGGGATTACGAAAAAGATTCACCATGTGGGCAGAAGGGCGAGCGGATGGAAAGGAGGGGTTAAAATGGCCAAGGTATTTCCTTTTCGGTCCTTTTTTGGCTTGGGCTGGCACTCCGAGCAAGCCACATCGCAAGGCGCCGTGACAAAGTTGCAGCACTGAGCGGGGAGCCAGCACCCAGGAATAGAAGCAGCCATTTTCTTCGCAATGAACGTTTGTTATTTTGAACAGGGTCCCTTATAGCATGCTCTCCCAAATCGCCTGGCAGAGCCTTCTTCAAACAGCTGAAGATGAGTTTCAACATTGCCTGTATGCATCCTGCAAGGAACCCGGTTGAAGCTTTTTCCCCCCAAATAATTTTCAAGCCATTTGGAACCCCGGGCCGCGTTGCCGGTCTGCAGGAAAGCGGGTACGACATCCTGACTGTGAGTGGGCAACAATACAGTGGGTCTGCAGGCTGGGCCCTGTCTGTGGCATTGTTGTGGGATAAAAACGGTTTCAGGACCACAAAATTCAGGACCACTCCTCCCCACGGCAGCGGTGCGGCCAGGTTGCCTTGGCGTGCTTGCCAGCTTCATGGTTCTTAACCGTCAGAGAATCCGCCTGTAGTGAATCCGTTGAAAAGGAACACACGCACATACCCAAATACACACACACACACGAAAAGGCGCCATGTGCTCGCCCTCTCCGCCGAAGCCCTCGCAGGCCCTGCGGGCGTCGAGGTGGGCGTGGGCCTAGAACTCGTCTGGAGCTCCGACCACTCGGTGACCAAAAGCGGCTGGGAGATCTGCGTGGCCTTCCCGGCGCCCGGGAAGCGGAAGCGGAAGGGAGGGTGGGAAAGATCGACTTGTTTTCTCCCAGGTTTTGTGGAATATGTTTTTTATTTTTTTGTCCCGGGATTCAGTGCCAACGACTTGGACCAACGGGAATTTAGGGAACCTGCACTACCCTCCACCGAAAGGCCGTCCGGACTCTTCTATTCCCCTCTGAAATGAATTGACCCCCCAATCGAAAGCAAAGGAAAGCTGAACAACCTCTTGAGTTTTGCGCCGGTCAGTTGGGGCAAGGGAGAAACCCAAGGGTTGAGTAGGCTGAGCTTCACAAGATTCAGAACTGCGGTCACGGTCAGTGAAATGAAGGTTGTTTTTTCTTCAAGGTCCTGTGAGCAAGTAAAAAGGACAAGGGTCATTGGTGTGCACGGTTGAGCTTTTGCGGACGACATGTGGCAACCTCACCGGTGCTTGCAACCACACCCAGGATGAAAGCTACTTTTTGGGGCTTTCTGAGTTTGGGTTGGTGACTTATTGTTCGGGTTCAGTTCAATAGGGGAATCACGGGTCCTCGTGCCGATGGTTTGGAAGGAAGCGCCCTTCCCTGGCAGAAGGTTTGTCAGAGCGAGAGAGGGAGAGACAACAACAAAAAGCAACAAGACGAGAGAGAGAGAGGAGAGAGTGGCGCAGCCGCCGCTGGACTGTTTTAGAAACTCCCACTCCCAAGCTTTTGTTTGTTGCGGTTGGTGGCTGAAGCCAAAATGCAAGTTGAAACTCTTCAAGCCTTGGGTCTTCGAATGCGATGCTTGCGCACGACCCTGTGTGGCCCAAAGGTTTTTCATGCGCCCTTTCGGCCCAAGGAGCACACCACGAGCACCACGAGCGCGTCAACGACAAAGACGCACACGCGGCTCCGATTGAGAGACTTGGGGGTCTGAATTCGAGAGGCAGTTCCGTGGCCTGCTCTGTTTCCAGTTTCTTCAAATATGTTTTCTCATTTTATTTTGTTGGCTGCAAATTCTTGATTATGGTTTCTTGACATGTTTCTATGACAGCTGCTCCCCCGCTTCACGTGGGACCAACCAAGGGGCTCTTATTCCCCGAAGCCACGCCAAGGTTCCCATGGAGTCACCTGACGGAGTGGCATGAGAAGGATTGCCCACAGAAGTATGCATGTTGAGCTCCATTTCTGTGATCCCAAAGGTTGCTTTTTGTGGAAATTACGCCAGAAACGGACAACTCACGCGCAGGGACCCGATTCTCGACATGTTGCGGCTAACCAAGATGCTAGGCGTAGCTGGGCTCCTGAGCTCCCTATTTAACAAGTATCCCTGCACCTTTGGCGTCCCCAGTGTCCATGGCTCGGTATTTGCTTTGGGTTGCCCAAAGCAAATACCCTTCAAAAGCAAGATGTGACACGCATCTCCAGCTGCACCTAAGGGCAACATCCACAACTACTCAGTCCATCTCCACCACGACCAGGAGCTAAGGGCGTCGGCGCTTGCCCTTTGCTTTGTTTATCTTTGTTTGCTTGCCTGGATCAGATTGTTTGACACCCCTCAGGAAAAGAAGGGGTCGCAGGGAGGGTGTCTTCATGTTACACTTTCGTTAGGTCCCTTTATGTTTACGTGGTCAAAAGGCAAACCCTGGCCTTGTCTAGCAGCAGTTTGGGATAGCGACCAGGTAAGCGCGGAATGGTGCCATGAGAATTCCTGACAGCCCTGCCCCTTCCGTGCCCCAGTGCAAGTCGCACTTCTACCACAACTCTGCTCAAAGAAAACATGCTTCTTCGAAGGGAAGCGACCTTGGGCAAGGCCTTCTTGGAGATGAGCTTGTTCGCCCAAGAGACCTGCACCAAATCAAGCCACAGACGCCCTTCACCGAAAAAGACCTGAGGTTCGACCATAGGTTCTCCTGGACTATTTTAGGGTGGCCGCGCTGCGCATTCAGGCCATAAATGTTGCCATAGATTCCTCTTGTTTGATCAGAGGGCTTTGCTGTTGTTTTCCCCCGCTTTGGAGGACCATGACCAGCAGCAGCACAACAGTGCTGGGTGGCCCAGAGAGAACGTCCTAGGCATGGATTGGGGACCGCGAGTTGCGTGGCCAAAATGCGGAAGGATTTGCGTTTAAGGGAAGTCTCGGCAGAACGTGTGCAGGCAGTTTCTCAGCTCCAGCCGCCGGAGGAACCCCATCCAATGCATGCGCGGGTTGATGCTAGGGTCAAGGTGGCAGGCAACCGACGCCCCATGGACCCTTGGTTTTGGTTGGGGTTGTTTACTTTGGCCTGAGCTGTTCACCACTGATCAAGTGCTTGGGCCTTCAATCAGGAGCCCGCAAGTCCCCATGCGAGAGCTGGCGGGTTTCCGGGAAGCACGATGGATTGCGAGTGGGCCAACCACATTCCGCCATAACTCTCAATATTGTAGCTGCGTGACGGTTGCGTGACACGCTTTGCGCCGCGTTTCTATTTTCTTTACGGGACCAAGTTGGGTTTTCGGCTCTAAACGGCCAAATTATGGCACAAGCAACGCCCTGTACTTCAAAACAAGCAGTTCCCTTTCCTAACAACTGAACGTACAGGAAGCAAGTTTTAAGCAAGGCATTTTGATGCTCGGAGTTTACATTGTGTTTTTCAAAAGGGCCCCGATTTAGAACCATGTGTCATGCATGGAACAAGGAAAGCACAGAGCCAGACAATTTTGGAGAGACCAATTTGAGTATTCGGGGACATTCTTGGCGGGAGGGATCATTTTGCAATTTAGCAGCCGGTTCAGTCTGAGGATGTTCCGCGTGCTGGTGGGGGAGCTGCTGCTGGACGTGGACGATCCCTCGGCCGCCCTGCCGTTCTTCGCCGACAACGCCACGGGCCAGGAGGCGCTACGCCGGGGTGTGGCAGACGGGCTTGGCCTGGAGCAGGACGGGGGGGCTCCTCACCTGGAACTGATCCCTCGCATAAGTTTAGATCGCTTGGCGCAATTCAGCATACAAGAGCCTGCCTGCTTCCCCCGAAGCTAAGTTTGGGCACCGGGGTCGGACAAATACTGTTTAACCAGCCAGCCCCTGGCCAAGGAGACGTGGTTCAAACAAGTCTCCTTCAGGGAAGCTCAAGACGGGCGGTTCCAAAAAACCCTGGTCTCAGCCGGTCTCAGCCCATGGTTTCAGGGGTTGAATCGCCCGGAGCGCGAGGACATGGTGAATTTGACCGCCTTCGAGGTGTGGGGATCCTCGGCCGGGCGGCGCCTGGCGGGAATCCTGGCAGTGGGCTACGAGATCTCCGTGCCCAGCACATCGGCTTCTTGGCCGCAAATCAGAGGGAGATGGGCTCTGTAGGCGTTCTTTTATTCTTATTTTTAAATTATTATTATTATTATTATTATTATTATCACTAGTATTATTAAGACAATGCACACAAAGAATTTCATGAGGCAATGTGTTCCCAACAAAGGCTGCGCAAAACCAGTCCCACCCTTGTGCCAGGTGGAACCTCCCCTTGTGCCAGTTTTCTCCAGCAAACATGTAGTTGCAACAAGAAATGGGAACCCGCTGCAACCCCATTCGTGGCACGGAAGAAGTTGGCAGCAGAAGGCAGAGGCGTTCTTTGAGGGCATCACGTTGCATCGCCCCAGCCCATGTGAAGTTCTTGATTTGTTTGTCTGAACCCATGGTTCATCGCTTGATTGAAGCAGGCGAGTGCGCCAATCGTATGTGTGCAGGGGGCGTTCCAGCACCTCCCTCACTGGCTGCTGAGAAACCCATTTCCTCATTTTCTCGCTATTGTGTGGCATAATCTGGGTGATTCCGAATGTATGCATCCCTAATCCCAAACGATACTCCATGAGTGTATGCATCCCTAATCCCAAACCATAATCCTTTGTTATCTCTCTTGGGAAGGTGGCTGGCTCAGACAGTCGCCCAGTCAGACAGGGCTCAGCGGTGCGACCATCGAGGCTGGCTACTAGATGTTCGAAGCCCACATAGCGGCTTCCCAATGTGAATTGCTCAAAACATTCCTTACCCTTAAGTTCTGCTATGCGCCTCCCTTCCGCGGGTGCATATTGGACATTGATAGAGTGATTTTGGACATGGGGTTGGAACCCAGTGAACGTATGACTTGCCCCAAACGGGCACCCTCCAAGCTTTTCCGGCTCAGACACGCGAGGCCCTGGATCAAGCGCCGCTTTGCTCAGCCAGTGGGACATGGGGGGGCTGGGACCAGGAGACTTTCAAAGGTGAGCAGTTGGGTTGCATTGCCTCTCTGAGTTGAAGCCGGTGCAGCTTTTTTCTTCAGGCTGTCTTGTTAAAACCAAACGCAATGTTCCTAACGGGGGCTTGGCCTTTTCAGTTCTCCAGATGTCTGTTCCGACACTTTTTACTTTTTACCCACCCAAGTTTCAGTCAGACGCATCAGGCAGTGGCAGAGTGCCAGAAAGCAAATCCCGTGGCTAGCCTGGAGCTGTCCACAAAACAAATGACGTTTGAAGAGGAACCCCAATGAGCACCAGTGGCGGGCCTGAGCAAGGTTTTTGCAAAGAACCGATTGAACAACCAATATGTGGCTCCCTTCAAAGGGAAACCCAAAGGCAGCTGTTGAAACCCTAACGGTTTACACAATCCTGTTTCAGGTTTCAGCCAGGGCTTGACCCAACCCTGGCCCTTATGCAAACCCACACGAATGAAGGATTGATCCTGCACTGCTGCACCAACCTTGAGGTTTTTACATGCTCCGACAAGGCGGGCTGTGCTCAAACAATCCTAAGGGCAGCCAAAAAAAGGCAATGGGTTGCCAACCCCTCCTGCTTTAGTTTCTCGAGAGGCTTTGAACGGAATCACCGAGCGTGTTCCAACAAGGCGGCCCAACTTGAGGCAGCTCTCCGCCTCCGGTGCCGCGTTGGCGGCGAGCATCAACCAGTCCTTGGCGGACAGCGGGGTTCCATTGACCGTCAGCGGCGTGCAGAATGCCGGGGATGCCCAGGGCAGCAAAATTTCGAAGAGAGCGCCGGGTGGAGAGGAGGTGATCTTTTGTTTGTTGTTCCCTTCGGGACCCCAAAAGGCCAAAGGAAAACAGGGTCCGAGCCTCAAACAGATGATGAAGCCAGATTATCAGGGATCAATGATCCACCTTTCTTCCCCAGTCATGCAGCGGGGCTCCAATTTGGTCCCGCAACCACTGAAAAGTTCCGGCCAGAGAAGCTTGCCCTGCTTTGTCGCATTTTGCCATTTATTGCCAGAAAAACTTGATGTCTGGACACCCAGCTGTTCGGTGATTCAGTGACTCCACCACTTTCTCCCCTTGTTTGGTAGCTTCTCCAGTAGAAGACTGCACCAGCCCCCCAACTTGCTCCACAGTTTGCATCTGAGTTGACAGGTTGAGAAGACCAGCACCACCACCACTGCCACGCACCTTGGCTTCGATTTGGGGCGAAACCAAAGGAGCTGATAGGACAGGTCGTCCAAACAGCTAAAGGGAACGGAAGTTTCATTTTTGACAGGGCTGTGGAGACCGTACCGGGCCTATCCACTTCCATGCTTGCAAAAAAAGGAAGGTCATTTCCAGGTGCCTCAATGCTTTGGAGTCGGTTTGTGGGAGGGGGTTGGACAAAGGCGTAAGCTGCATGCTCTTGTGGATTGCCTGCGGAGAGGCTGTGCTTTTGAGTTCATTGAAGGCGGACAGGCCGAATGGCAATCTTGATTATCAGCATTCCCACTTTTGCCTGATTCCGATGCAAAGGCAGCACCTCTGATATCCTGATTCTGAGGTTCATACTTGACATCTATCTTCCTGGAGCGTACCCTTTCCTGGGGTGGTGTTGCGGAATGCGAAGGGAAACCGGGCATCCTGGTGCTTTCTCCAGACACCCGTGTCGGCCAGGACGACGAGTCGAACTTCCAGCACCTCAAGGACCTCATCCTCCACGACTTCTTGGACCACAACGGTGTCCAGCACCACGACGAACACACCGGTCACTGGGCCAGCCTTTGGGAACTTTTTTGCACATCTTTGCATTTTTTCTACATTGTATCCCCACCCTGACACGTGCCGTTTGGGGAGGTGGGTGATTCTTGGAATTTCGTTCATAGTTCCATCTTTCCTTATCTGCCCCGATGCCAACATGAATTGTCATAGATATTGAGCTAGGGGGTCAGGGATACTCAAAATAGGAAGCTAAAGAGCCGAATTCACCCCAACATCATAGGATGATGACGGACAGGGTTCCAGCTTTGGATTCTCGCAAGATACACTTAACCCAGAGCTCCCACTGGGAAATCAGTCAGCCTGGATAAAGCAAATCTATACGCATTCAGGGTTGATGGCTTCGTTTTGGGTGGATCATTGGCCAAGGTGAACTGCCAATTTTCGGATTGGTCCGACTGGGATAAGTGCAATCGGCCCTGCAACGGCGGCAACTACACCCGCACGCGCGCCATTGCCGTGCCGGAAGAATTCGGTGGAGACCCTTGTGTGGGCGAGCTGTCCGAAACTCGCTCCAGATGGCCTCAAGAAAGTCTGTCAGTGTTTTTTTTTTTGGGGGGGTGGTCTTGAAAGTAGGCCAAGGGAAAACACAAAAAGTTTCCCCTATTATTGGAAACACCGGGTCGAGCTTTGTTTCTTTTGTGTCTGATGGGATATGGCCTGTAGGTTTAAGACCTGGCTGGAAGTTGCACAAGAGTTTGCGGCACAGGCACACTTTCTCTTGGGCTGAGTAGGGATGGTCCTTGCAACCCCTGGATCGGGGCTTTAGACAACCATTGGACCATGGCACAGGCATATTCATTTTAAGAAGCTTGGCGCAAGCATCTCCAGACTTGGCTTGGCCTTTGGGCTGCAGGAAACAGACAGCTGCAACACCGCGAACTGCTCAGATTGCTTTCCAGGCTGGGTTGCAATTGGCTGGGGAAGGGTGGGGGGTCTCTTAGGGCATCATTTTGGGCGCCTGGTAGCAGTGGGGTTGGTTTCATTTTCGTAAAAGAAAAAAACGAATCCAGGTTTGGACAGATGCGAAAATTAAATATCTTACGTGCAGTCACAAACCTTAAGGGGGCTGAGTTGTTCTACCCGTGGTTCCAGCACTTGAGTTCTCCTTTTTCTTTGGTTGTCCAATCCTGCGTTATGTCAGGCGACCACTGAGAAAGCAACAGCTATGGAAGCACTCACCTTGCTGGTTCTCAGCAGGCAATGAGGGAATGACCCCTATGAAACATCCCTTGTGGTTTCGTTTCAGGAAATCGCCCTGGCATCATTCCCAAACCTCCTGAGACCCAGCAAGTCATGCCAACTTCGCATTTTACTGATACCGCCTAACCGCAGGCCCTCAACGGCCTCTCGCCTCTTTCAGGAGTCATGCGAAACTAGCCATGGCAGCCGTCCTGTCTACCAACATGGAATCCACCAGAGGGTTGGCGGGCAGGAGGGTACCCGTTTTTTTGGGCGCACTCCTTTTGAGACGGTCGTTCGATGTCGGAGGCTTCCACCTGGTCTTCATCTCCAACGAGGTGGGGACGGGCTGACCCGGAAGCTTGGGGAACCTCCACGGTTTGAATGGGCTGTCGGACCATGTCGGACCCGTTGAATGGGCTCAACCATCTTCCAATAAATGGACGCTACGCAATACGCGCATGATATCACATGATTGTCCTAGGGCCTGTTTAGTAGAAACCTAACTTCAGGATCCCCTGAAGTTAGGAAGCAAACACGCTACGGGTTGTTTTGGTCCAAATCCAATCTTTTACCCACACACGGGTTGCTTCGGAAATACGTCAAAGGGCTCGCTCCGGCAGCCTAGTTTTTGGCTGGGTGGCTTGCAAACCCTAGCAAGCAATTGCATGGAAGCGCACACTTTTGGCCGGTTTTGAACCTGTAGGTTTAAAGCATTTGACCCCGGCCCCGATTTCATCCCTTTTCTGCATGGCTGGAACCAAAGCACGCCGAAACACCGTTAAAACATCTGGGTTTTGAACATACTGGGCTGGCTGCTAAGTTGCACGTAGATTTTGCGCTCCCCAACAGAAATCCATCATGGGAAGGATGATTTTGTGATTTGCCCAGACCCCCTATTCGTCAACCAGTCTGTGACTAAGTTCAATTGAGGAATGTGGGGATTCTGCCTTGGGCTTCCTGTAGCGCAACCAAATAGGAGGCGGGGTGCCTGCCCTGCGCGCGGGGCCGCTACAACCCGGTGGCCGGTGCGGAGAGTTCCCAGAGCTGCCTGCCCTGCGCCAAGGGCGAACCCTGGCGCAAGTTGGGTTGGGGGGGGGTTGCGGGGGTTGCTGGGGCATGGCAGGTTTTGGTGTTGTTTGAAAGGGAAAGGTGCAGGAAGCCCGCTGCCATTCCCTGATTCATGTGCGTGGAGGGTTTCCGGTCCACATCCATTGGCGGGCCTGACTTCCACTCACTGTAGGGTGGAGGTTTGGTTGGCTGATGCTGGGTGAAAGGTGCCTCAGGCGCGTCTTGCAAAGCCACCAATTTTTGAAGATTCGCTTTGCGCAGAGGGGATTCGCTGTTAATGCTTTCGGGACACTTGGAGGGCTGTCCTAAAAGTGTGGGCCTCCGAAGTTCGAGCATCTTCCAGTCTCTCACCTCTGTTGTCGTGGAAGCTTCCGGCTTACATGTGCATGTTTTTCTGGGTAGGTCATACTCAAACTGAGGCGTTTCAGAAAAAGTGTGGTGTGCCCTTACTTTGGATGGGACCATGGTTCTGCCCTTACTTTGGATGGGACCATGGTTCTGGTGCCCAATTGGGTGGACGAGTTTCCACCCTTAGCAATCGACAACTCCTCCGGGGGCGCCTGCGGTGAGGGCGGACCAGCTGAGGGGCTGAGGGTACTGTTCCCGGCAAACAACCCAACAGTCGCCCAACATGGGCACCCGTACCAGCGTGAGAGCCACATGAGAGGCATACAGAGGCGTTTGTTGAAGTGCACCTGGAACCACTGCCAAGCCTGACTGAAACTGAACTTTTGCCCGTCTAACTTTGAAGCGGCAAAACAACACAATCTTTGGCAGCCCTTTGAGAAGCTGATTCTTCCACGCGCCCCGCACGCCCCGCACACCACCTTCCTCAGCGGCCTTAGGAGCAGAGCCTGGAGGGTGCCACCCAGTGCACGCCCTGCGCGGAAGGCTCCGCCGCGGCGCCTATGCTGAGCCCCACCGCATCCGCAGACGCCCTTCCGCACTGGGGGGAGGGGGGGGTAATATCAAATGCTGCTGTTTGAATGTCACGCTTTGATTTGTTGTTGTTGATTTGTTAGTATAAGTTTCAGTTGAGCATGGTTCTCTTTTTCCCTATTTACTTCCCCAGTTCTTTGCAAAGGCGATCTTGGTGGTAAACAACGTCTGGACAGTTGTTGGCCAATCCACTCAAGTGAGTTGCCCTTCACGCCCAGCAGAAAATCGGTTTGGTTTCCTTTGGCGCTTGTTTTGGTGATGAAACAGCCTGCACCAGTCACGTGAGGACCTGGCCAACGTGTCCGGGGACTTTGTGCTCAGCGACGGGGCGGCAGGGCTTTGCTCCGCCTGCGCAGGAGGGTGGGGGATGGGGTGGAGGCGCTCAAAAATGGGACACTCTCGGCGAGGGGTGGGATGAAATTTGGGTGAGGGGGGTGGGGTGGGAGGAAATTGCAGCAACAAGCGGTTGGTTCCCGCTTTTGCGGAGTTTCAGGCCATCGCGGCAGTGGGCAATTCCCATAACCCTAGAGAGTGGTCTTGCCTGAAAGGGAGACTTAGGTGGATCTGCACAGGGCTGCCAGTGCCTCCGGCTTGATCCATCGACACCCCAAACCGAACCCATTTGTGGAGGAATCCCCGGCCTTTGTTTTTCGTTCATCTTTTTGGGTCGAATCAGAGGTTTGGAGGCACGAAGGCCGGGGCCGACCGCATTTGTCACCTGCACATGGAATACAGGATGCTTAGCAAGTAGGAGTACCCTCCCGACCAACGTTGAACCCGACCGGGGCATGATGGTGGGGAGTCCGCGCTGGACAAAGAGATCCCCCATGCGCTTTTGCAGTTCTTGGGTTCGTGGGCCGTTTGGGCTCTGCGATCAGTGCCAGGCAGCCTCACCTTCCGGGTGGCATGCGCCTCGCAGCGCTCGGTCTATTTTACCGCCTGGGTGTCAGCCGCATGGCGCAGAAGCTGGAACCGGGTGGGTGTCTCTTTTTTCAGGTAGTGCAAGTGCGGAAATCATTAGAATGGGGTTGTGAATGGGTCCTTGGTGGTTCAATGAGGGCTCTTGTGCTTTCGTTTGGTTATCCTTGGCACGCCATCTAAGGGCAGAGGGCAGCCATGAAACTGCTGCATCCTTCCAGCAACGCACAGGTTGTTTCTACGCAAGGCTTGTGTGGTCCAAGGCAAGGGCAATGACTCGACTGCAGCCCCCAATCAAGATGGAAAGTCCTCATGCTGACTCTTGCCGAAATCGCCTGGGAGACTTGAGGACCCCCTCGTGGCTTGAACAGTCCAATGCACAGGACCCCCGCGGACCCCCCCCCCCCCCCCGCGAACCCTCCCAAACATTGTTTCCAGTGTTCCTTCTGGTTCCCTTTTAACCGCTTCAAATGCAAACACAGCTTAAGCCACTGAAGAGTTGGAGGTTGCGGCTTGTTTTGACTTATTTCGGAAATCGTTTCAATTCGATGCCCAAAAAACCAAGGGGTTCAACGCCCAAACCAGGCGGAAGCTTCGTGCCGTAGGCGGCAGAAGCTGCGGAGCTGGAGCTGCAGGTGGCGGGGCTCGCGCCCATCGCTTGGACGGTGCAGGCGGGCGCCCAGGCGCGGCGGCGGCGGCTTCTTGGTGGGTCCCCCATTTGACAACCAATCGAAGATCTTCAATCCCCTTTTTTGCTTGGAGGGGGGGGCGTTGCCACGAATTTCTGGTCAACCACAAAGTTTCATGAACTTGCTTTTGCCTTTACCTTTTGTCACCGTAGGTCCACGGACTGCACCAATTTCCCCGGGATGCTCTCCCGACACGCCAGGCGTCGCAGGCCTCGCCCTCGCTGACGCTGCCGTCCGGGGAGCGCCAGGTGCGCCTTTGGGCTCGCAGCGCGCTGCAGTTGAGGCCCGGGCCGCTCGCACCTCGTGGCTGGCAGAAACGAATGGGAACCCGGTTGGGTGCGTCTTGTGGGTAGGGGACCCACAATGAAGGTTTCCTTCTTCGGTCTTCCCGGGTGTCGTTTTGGTGATTGTTTAAAGGGGACCCACAAAAGGGCAGGTTTTTCCTTTTGGTTTTCCCTTAAAGCCACCCCAAAAAAAGGAACCCCCAAACAAAAGACACGCCCAGTTGATCAGCAAACCTTTGGTCGATGAAATGGGGGCGGGGTGTTCTAGAGGGCATTCTTTAAACACGTGGATCAAGCTGGGGTTGCGTGGATTTGTTGACTCAAAACCGTTGGATAGCTTACAGGTGCTTGCAATCCGAACGTGTAACACATGCCCAGCCCTGCTCCAGAACCATGTTCTTTCTTTGTATTGCTCTGGCCCTAGCAAGGCACAGCACCGTACGGATCCTCCCTGGCGACAGC